AAAAAAGGGTTACCACCTCCTATCGACATCAAAGCCACGTGAACGTTGTTTTTTTAACTGTTAAAATGTCACGCTGACCCCAAACATTTACTTTCTTTTAGCTTCCAAATTTTAGTCACGTTTCCTCCTCATATATATGTATTACTACTCAGAAACTGCCCTCATCTATAATACCCTGATATGCAATGAAATCCTGCTTTAAATTGCTGCTTCTTGTGTGTGTGTTTTTCAGTTAATTTGTTCTCCAATGTTTCATTTCGGTGAAGTGTTATATGGCTCTGTAATGTGGGAGTAAAGTTTTCCATATTTGCCCTTTGATTTATCCAGGAGGTCAAGTTTATTTTGTTTAACCAGTCAAAAACTCAAGAGACCTGGTTAGCCTCCTTTGCAAGAGTGGCAGGTGGCAGAGCGGTTAGCACATAGCAATACGAACCCGATAATTTCAGGTCACTTCCCTGTAACAGCTAATATGTGTGTATGTTGAACTTTTACACCGTACGTAGCCAACCGCGCTAATAGGAGGTGCGGAATCATTGACGATTGGAATCATGATACGGTCCTGGGCTGACCCTTCAGCAAACCTGCACTGACCAGAGCGGTAAAGTATGGTCACACAACTTGATCTGATTGGCTCTGTCGGGTGGCAAAAGCTATAGCTGAAAATTGGCATTAAACTTACACGATCTAACCCAAAAGTTCACTAACTATGAATCATAACAGTGTTCGTGAAAGCCTACGTGTACAAATCGCCCCACTGTTTCAACTGGGAGATCGAATCTATCCGGCGACCTTTGAAATGTAAGTTCCGGCGTCGATAAAAAATGCTTATCGTGACACCACGGCAGCATCCATGCACGCAGGGTCAGACGAAATAATTTCCACAAAGAAACACGAAGCCCCACTCCATCACAACCAATCAGGGGTCGCCAACCAAAATAACAACAGCCATTTCTCCTTAGTTGGTAAAAGAAGCCACTCAATAGTTCACAGTGCCGCACAGTGCGCGTCGCGAGCACGGGGCGGTGGTGGCTGCTTCACGCGGACCGCTGCACCTGCTGGGTAATGCCCCGTCTCGTTTAAACGAACGACTGCGGATTAAACCCAGGGACACGTGTCCCTCGCTGCGCCTCTCCCGTGCACCTCTCGATCGAGTCCCGCCCCAAAATCTCTCTCGGCAGCGGCCACCTCATCAGAGTCACCGCCATCGAAGGCTGCGCCGTAGGGGACTCGACCAGACGCGAGCGCCTCCTGCCACCGGCCGCCCGTCGTGTCGACTGCGCGGCCGTGGGGCCCCAAGATGCCCAAGAAGAATCGCCGGGTTCATTAAATGAAATGCCGACAAAAATAAACTCCCGAAGCGAGGCACGCCGTCACTTCCTTTCAGCAAGACGCACGAGTCGGCATGCAACTTCCTCCGTGACACTTACGTGGGGAGGCTTTAATCCAGCAGTGGATTGATATATCGTCGTTACGTTGTGATCATCGCGGGGTTAACAATACGGCCTCGCCCACGCGCGCGTCTGTCAGTCAGTGACACACTTCAAAACGATATGCGCTATATATTAGCACTAAGCTAAAATAGCACCTACATGCACAGCCTTTCACACCACTTAATACTGATTTATTATTATTACTCACAGCTCAAAAAATACCTATATATATCTTTGCTTGACATGTTTTGCACTGAAATAGTTTACGCATGTTCCTCCTTACTGTTTCGCCGGACTTCGCCACGAACCATCGCGGCGAAGAGCGGTGATGGAATAAACCAGAGCAGTGGCATGTACATTACCACGATATTACTGCTATATCATTTGTATTCATTCCGGGTCTCCACTGCGAAATAACCACAATACCTCGCTGACCTCGTCAAGGAGCATCAACCACCATCACGCAAACTCCGATCGCCCTCGAAGCATCGGCTTTTGGCTGCTGGCCATCGAACAAAGACTGCATCACGCGCTTTCAGATGCGCTTCTGTGTCCGTCTGGAACGCTCTTCCTTCCGATATTAGGAAGCCATTGGAGATATACACTTTTAAATCATCTAGATTGAAAACTCATTTCCTAAAAACTGCTTTTCGTGGTTAATTTCATGTCTCTCCCCCGCACCTCCAATTAGCACGGTTGGCTACGTACGGTGCGAAATAAGACCAACACACATGGGGTCTCGCTGACATAAATACAGTGGCTTAGGAATTATACTTACTATTCTTGACGCCTCTGATAAACAAACGATGGCCAAGTAAAGTAGCTGAGTGGCAGCCAAGGAGTGGAATACGTCCAAGATCGTGTCCACCGATGACACGGATCAATGCAATAGGCTCGTGTGTGGGTGCTCGGTGGAGTACGACTCCAGGCCAGGGAGCGGTGGTGTAGCGGTTAGCGCGCTACTCTGTGAAACCGGCGAGCCGGGTTCGATTCCCGCTCACGGCCAATACCAGTGACAATTATTTGAATGGGACATGGGCCTCCCCTAGGTCGATTCAGCCTCAAATGAGTACCTGGTGTGGTGTGTAAACATCACCAGTGGAGGCCGGGCGTGGTGTTGACCACCCACCCTCTCGTGTGCCGTTCCGGCCTTCTTAGATGCTCGCTAATAGCACTTGTCCCTACAGTCTGATCAGGCTGTACGGGGAATCTGTGTCTTTGTCTTATTGCTAGAGGATCATGAGAGATGGTTACTGATGATGGTAACTTAGACAAACATCATTTTAACTCCATTCCAAGGACCAAATCACTCTCACCAACACCGCAAGTGACGTCACGTGCCAAGATCGGTGCCCTTCGAGGCGACATGAAGTGTGGACGGCTCTTGCTGCTGACAGATCACGGCACAGACCCAGGTGGCATGGGTTAACCGGCTGAGATAGCTGACAGATGCACAAACTTTGCTTCCCACTGTGCCCCCTTCTCTCTCTCTTACCAAGACCTCTGGGGCAAGTGGAGTGAGCAAACACCCCGATGGGGTGGTGTGGCAAGATCCACGCCCGGTCGCCTTTGTTTTCCCAGTCGCACAAGGTTGTCATGTCGGGCGTAGTCGACCTAGGGGAGGACCAGGATCGGTTCAGATTAATCGCCGGTGATGTAAACCCTGGTCGGAAGTCGAACTCAGGTGGCCGGGACTCGTAGCGCTTTGAGCCAACCGGGACGGCAGCGCTCCGACCACCACCCAATCACTCAAAGACAAAGGTCCCCCGTACAATCTTAACAGACGTTGAGGCAAGTGCTGTTAGCGAAGTCCCATGAAGGCCGGCACGGCACTCGAGGGGTGGGTGATCAGCGCCATGCCCGGCCACCTTTGTCTCTCGTTTGGTGATGTTTATACATCGCCACACGGTACTCCATTGAGTCGACTTAGAGGGGCCCCAGAACTGGTCGTGAGGGTAAATCGAACTCGGGTCGACGGGTTCACAGCGCGCTAACTGCTGGACTACCGCTCCGCACACCCATTCACTCACCCAGCCACTCAACCCACTCAGCCACCCAGCCACTCAACCCACTCAGCCACCCAGCCACTCACCCACACACTCACCCACACACTCACCCAGCCACTCAACCCACTCAGCCACTCAACCCACTCAGCCACCCAGCTACTCAACCCACTCAGCAACCCAGCCACTCAACCCACTCAGCCACCCAGCCACTCAACCCACTCAGCCACCCAGCCACTCACCCACTCACTCACCCACACACTCACCCAGCCACTCAACCCACTCAGCCACTCAACCCACTCAGCCACCCAGCTACTCAACCCACTCAGCAACCCAGCCACTCAACCCACTCAGCAACCCAGCCACTCAATCCACTCAGCCACCCAGCCACTCACCCAACCACTCACCCACCCAGACACTCACCCACTCACTCACTCACCCACACACTCACCGACACACTCATCCACTCTCTCGCATGCACCTTGTCCTGTGCCATCGCATGTCAAGTCCTCGACAGTATACTCCACAGAGAGTCTCTTTGCTGTGCGGCTCAGTCCGTAGCACGTGGAACAACAACAACAGCAGTGGCCATCGAGCGGTGCAACTTCTCAGAGGGAAGCGAGGAGGGCTCCACCGCGTGAACAATAACAACCGCGTGGCCGCGTGAACAACAACAACAACAGCCACGTGAACAACAATAACATCAACCACGTGGCCGCGGTGCATCTCCATATGTCACGGTTGGCTGCGTGCGGTGCGAAAGAAGTTGAACATCAATTTCGATTTAAAGCTTTCGTGACTGCAAGGATTCATTTTCTTTGGTTCTTTCGGTAAAGTCACGTAGAATGAGAATAAAATAATAAATTAATTAAAGGTCGCGATCTGAGCGTGACTTTTTCACTCCAGCGCTGTCCTCCAGACAGTCTCGTCCCTTCACCTGATGAAGGCCGCTTGTGTTGTGGCCGAAACGTCGTGAGAATATTATTGCGTTATTTTATTTTATCAATTTATTATTTTATTCTCATTCTACGTGACTTTACCGAAAGAACCAAAGAAGAAGTTGAACATACATGCATCCATGCGCATGCGAACATAACAAAAACACATTCAGCGATCGCACTGCATAAAAATGAAACATAATAGGCGACGTTCCGGGCAATGGGTCTTTTAAAAAAAAAATTCGTGATATAGAATGAGCAGTAATGCATAAGGACAAACAAGAGACTCAACGCATTTGTCAATAACACTGCCCCAGAGGAAACATCGAACAACACGCGACGTTTTAGGCAATGGCCTTCCGTCATCACATTATTATCTCTCTGGTGTGAAGGGCCATTGCCCGAAACATCGCCTATGTAAGCCTTGTATGAGCCGTGGTATTGATGAATGCGCTGTGCTCTTCATGTTTGTGTTTGCTGAGTTCGTGCGATCAAGCCGCTGGGTCCGTGCCATCCTCACGCTTGGGGCTGCGTCACTCACAGCCCTTGCCACTTGGAGCTGCTGGGGGGAGGAGGGGGTGGTGGTGGTGGTGGTGGTGCCCGCGCTCTCGGTCTTCCCTCCCCATCAGCCCCCTCCTTCCCTGTCTTCTCCTCCCATCCCTACCCCCCGACCCTCCACTGGGCACGAAGCATCCACCACCCTCCCCTGCTGGGCTCGGGATGACTGCGGGATAAGAGTGCGAGAGACGAGAGGTGCCGCTACAGTGCAGGCGGCATCACGCGCGGTGCTGCTGCAGCAGGAGGGGGGAGGAGGAGCAGCGCTCTCCCGTAGACCTTGCGCAAAGGCAGCAGCACAACACCAACGCTCTCTCATTTGCGAGCATCTTCATATCTACACGCTCAGGTCGGTACGTGTGTGTATTTGCAGTATGTATACTGTGTCAATGTTTGCACGTTATGTTGTGTTAATGTGGATGTTGTGTGATGGGGGAACGGCAGTGTGGTGGTTACCGTGCCGACGCGACGAACCAGGTTCTATACCCACTCACAGCCAACACCAGCGACGATTATCTGAGCCGATCCTGGGCTGCCTCTAGGTCGACTGAGCCTCAAATGAGTACCTTGTGCGGTATGTAAACATCGCTACTAGGGAGACAAAGGTGGTCGGGCGTGGTGCTGACCACCCCCTCGTGTGCCGTACCGGCCTTCATAGGTCTTCGCTAACAGCACTTGCCCCAAGTCCGTTAAGACTATACGGGGGATCTTTGTCTTGTTTAGACTGATATGGGGACGCGTAGTGGTGAGCGCACTGCGCTACGAACTGAGCACCCCGGGTGAGATTCACCAGCGGTGAGCGGTGTTATCTGAACCGGTCCTGGGTCGCGCCTCGATACTCAGCCTGAAACGAGCACGTGCCTGTGCCCATCAACAGCGGCGTGGTGTCGTGCACGCGTCACCCTGTCCGTGCAGCGCGCCATTAAGAGGTGCTCGCTAACAACAGTGTGGAGGGCGTTCAGGCGACACGGACGATATTTGACGATGTTGTATCGTAACCACAAATCACGTTACCCATCAAGACGACGGCTGTGGCGATATAGAGCGCAGCAGGAGGGGCCAACAACGATCTCGAGATGGATGTTGTGGAGGATGAAGAGCGGGCACAGACGACGCACACTCTGCTCAGACAGACGCAGCGTGCTGAGGCTGATGCTGCTGTTCAGCTCGCTGTGGTTGTCACAAGTGAACGCTGGTGGTTGTCACAAGTGAACGCTGGTGGTTGTCACAAGTGAACGCTGGTGGTTGTCACAAGTGAACGCTGGTGGTTGTCACAAGTGAACGCTGGTGGTTGTCACAAGTGAACGCCAGCGAGAGCTGCCAGTCGCATTCCCGAAGCCACTTTTGTTATCTTCGTGTGAACGGGGATTAATTTCTCTCTCGATATTTTTTTCCGGAATGCTGCGCGGCTGGCTTGGCGTATGGAATTATCGGCTGGCAAGGCACTGCCACTAGAATACAAAGTGTGCCTATCCACAATAATCGTGTATTACCTGTTTGCTATATTACTACAATCCCTTGAGGACAAACAGAGTATCAAATCAAGTGAAGTCTCCAACCTCGATCCCTCCTGTCTGTGTACTATGAAGAAGGACCATTGCCCGGATCCACGCCGATCACGCAATAGACACATTTTATTAATTTAAAATCACTGAGTCTTTCTTGACGAATGAGACTCTCGTGAAGTGTTCAATAGTTCATGGAACAGCGTTCCAGACTGTGTCCGATCGAAATGAAGAGCTGCGTATGTGCGCGTCTGTGCGTGTGAGTTTGTGCGTGTGAGTGTGCGTGTGAGTTTGTGCGTGTGTGTGAGTGTGTGTGAGTGTGCGTGTGAGTTTGTGCGTGTGTGTGTGAGTGCGTGTGTGAGTGTGCGTGTGAGAGTGAGTGTGCGTGTGAGAGTGTGCGTGTGTGTGAGAGTGTGTACGTGAGTGTGTGCGTGTGTGTGAGTGGGTGAGTGTGCGTGTGTGAGTGCGTGAGTGTGTGTGTGAGTGTGTGTGAGTGTGTGTGTGCGTGTGTGTGAGTGCGTGAGTGTGCGTGTGAGTGAGTGCGTGTGTGAGTGTGCGTGTGTGTGAGAGTGTGTGTGTGAGAGTGAGTGTGTGTGAGAGTGAGTGTGTGTGAGTGTGTGTAAGAGTGCGTGTGAGAGTGAGTGTGTGCGTGAGTGCGTGTGAGTGTGTGTGAGAGTGCGTGTGAGAGTGAGTGTGTGTGTGAGTGTGCGTGTGTGTGAGAGTGTGTGTGTGAGAGTGAGTGTGTGTGTGTGAGAGTGCGTGTGAGAGTGAGTGTGTGCGTGAGTGTGTGTGAGTGTGTGTGAGAGTGCGTGTGAGAGTGAGTGTGTGCGTGAGTGCGTGTGTGTGAGTGCGTGTGAGGGTGAGCTTCTATATCATTACTGCTGCTGTGCGCCTGCTGTGTTTTTTTAAAACGCCCGTGCCGTGTGCGTCTGGTTGCGTGCTGTCGAGCAGCCTCTGTAGGGGCCATAGACCGTGAAGAAAGCCGGCGACACCAGCGGCGAGGGACTCACCCCGAGGAGCTGGGGACAGACAACGAAACGAACAAAAGCCAACACAGCAGCCATCCTGCCCAAGGGCGGTGGGGGAGGGGAAGACACAAACATAATTAGCACAAATCAGCGGCTGCTTTCAATACCCTCTCACTCCGGGACTGATGGGAGGGACCTTACAGGGAGGGAGTCGACCCTCGCGCTGAGATGGATTAATAAGATTTGAGGACGTTCCTCTGAATAGACATCGCACGGGCCCATGTCCTTCATGAACCACGGGCTATGGCCGGTGCTGGCCCTGGGTGCAGGTCCACCAACGCCGCGGCGCGTCAGCCCTGAGAGGTCTTCTGCTCCCACATGCGGGCGCGTGGCTGTGGGTGGAGGAGGCCCGGCGTCTCGACACTGAAAGTGGCGTCACCATGGTGTGTCTGGAGACGGCGATGGCCAGTGGAGCGATGGTGTGCAAACCCGACTGCTGCATCAAAGGTGAGAGAGAGAGCGAGAGAGAGAGAGCGAGAGAGCTCAATCACTCGATCGGAATCTCCAGAACGGAGTCGTCGTAGCCGGCGGACCACTTGGCAAGACGCTCCTGAAAAGAGTCCAGGAGACGAGGTGAGGCTTCGCTGGGCTACCGAGCGTGAGGACGAACACGAGAGAGAGAGGGGGACGGAGCGAGTCGCTGTGTGCGAGCCCACAATTGGCCCGGTGAGATGGATTTGGGTCTTTACGGTGGGTTGGGATGTTCACCGGTCGACTTTTGTTGTGAATGATGGGCGGCTGCAGTTCACCGTGCGTGGATGATACGAGTCGATACGTGTCTTTGGAGAAATGTCAATATATATACGTGCCTAGTCAATACGCAATAAGTTATTGTTATAGAATCAGGGCTTACATGTTCATCTTCATACATTTTCCGGCCCCTCCCCTCAACCAAACCCACAACCTATGAGACCCTGAAATATTTTCCGGAAATAAAGCCGATTGTGTAATTTATAATAACAACGGCCGATTTTTATATCAATGAATGCCCCAGCGACCATCTCAATAATCTTCATGAGGAGGGTTCTGCATTGGAATAGATAGCCAATCGCATTCAAATACGTGGCCTTTGTGTCTCTGCATTGATTGCGATGTTTGGCCAGTAGATGTAGTCAGTTGTGTGGCACGTGTGCGGGAATCGCGGAGAGAAGCCACCACTATGCACGTAGCAGGTGAATATCAAACAGGTTCTGATGGATTCATTACACTCGCTGTACTCTCATCTCCGGGCCACCTCGCAGCCCAGCTGATGAGGGCGTCACACAAACCTTGACGTGGTCCACCAACCCTTACATCCAGAGCATGGCGCGGTGCTAGAGTCAATGTTGACCACTCCACATTACCCTGGTACGAGCCAGTTTATCCACAGGACAAGGGGTTGGTAGATGTATACATATTCAGCACGCATGCCTGTACAATATATCGGTGTCAAGCTTCTGCTACAGAAATGAGTAACTATTTACATTCGCGGTTTTATTTGATTCAAATGATATGCATTTATGTTGAACTTCATTCATTGTAGTTTATTGTAAAAATTCGGTCAGTCCCTGTGATCACTGTTACGTTGCAATTATGGCTTTATTTTTTGGTGATTTCGAAAAGTTTTTTGGTTTGGACATGTTTGTTTTGTTGTAGTACGGAGTTAGACGATGGCTTTAATTTAAGTTTTGTTGTGGTTGTTATTCTTGGTTCTTTCGAAAGAACCAAGAATATGAATCCCTGCAGTCACGAAAGCTTTAAATCAAAGTTGTTGTTGTTGTTGTTTGACTTGCATCCCACTGGGATCTTTTGCACACAGCGTTGGTGTACGGTGCTTTTTCCAGGAATATTTTTGCTGCTTTTTGTTCATGGATTTTCCGTTTGCACAGTCACATAGTCACTTTAATATGTTTTCTTGTTCGTGTTTTTGTTTTTTGTTTGTTGTGGTTGCACCCGATTCAAGAGCCGAATGGCTCACAGGGCTATACCAAAATAAATCAACTGAAAACTGAATTCTGCACCGTACGTAGCCAACCGTGCTCTGTGATAATTAAGTTAAAAACTGACAGAGGTTACAACAAATAACTTTATGTCCCCTGGAGTAGATATTTGCCAGTCTGAAATTTTAAATTATCTTATAATCTCGGTTCTTTCGGTAAAGTCGCGTAGATAGAAAAAAAAATAGAGAAAAATAATAAAATAAAAAATAATGCAAAATTAAAATAATGAATTGAAAATAATAAAAGAAAAAACAAAAAGAAAAATAGTAAAATAAAAAATATTTCTTATTTTACTTTTTCTATTTTTATCGTGTTTTTTTTGCTTTTATTATTAAAAAAATATATTTTAAATTTAATTATTTTTAGCTTTTATTTGTTATATTCTTGGTTCTTTCGGTAAAGTCACGTAGATAAAAATTTTTATTCTTATTATGAATAGGTTTTTCCCCTTTTTTTCTGGGAACAAAACTGAAAGCTTTTTACAAGGAATCACGTCTGCATTAACCACAATACTTGTGGTCAGAATGCAAAAAAAAACATACTCTTATCATATATTGGCATTGTCTTTGAAACTGTTAGGTCCACACCAGAGACAGCTTTCTTTTGAGCCTCGTCTCAAGCGGTGTTAGACCAGAGGACGCCAAAAGGCGTACAGCTCAAAGACAAATTCACTATCAGAGTAATGAGCATCTACATCATGGGACCTCCTTTGCCACTACCAAAATATAAGAATAGGTTTTTCCCCTATTTTTTCTGGCAACAAAACTGAAAAAAATGAGAAAAACCTAATCTTATATTTTGTTACTGGCAAAGGAGGTCCCATGATGTTTATTATTATATATTTTTTATATGATTTCTATGTGACTTTACCGAAAAAACAAGAATATTAATTTATGCAGTCACAAAAGTTTTAAGTCAAAATTTAAACGATCTTATGAACGGATTACTTTCCACTAAAGCTTGATTTTACCTATTATATGTATCTATAGGGTGTCACGGTGGCGAGATGTTAACAACTTCGCTTGGTATTCAGGAGATCGTGGGTTCGTGATTTCATTCCCGACCCTGATGCCTCTATATATTTGGAGTTTGCGTGTCTCTCTCCACGTGTCTCTCTCCAAGTTCCCGACCCTGATGCCTCTATATATTTGGAGTATGCGTGTCTTTCTCCCCGTGTCTCTCTCCACGTTCCCGACCCTGATGCCTCTATATATTTGGAGTTTGCGTGTCTCTCTCCCCGTGGATTTTTCTCCGAGTCCTTCGTTTTACTCTCCACATTCAGAGACATCAGTACAGTATTTGGCTGCTATACATTTCCATATGATACTACCTGGTAAAATAAAAAGTAGTACATTTGTGTACAGTCTATCAACGCGTATGAATTCATCTGTGCAGAGCTTCATGTGTGCATGGTGGGGTTCCCCCCCCCCCCTAATGAAGTGAAACATGAACGGAATTGGCAAGCCTTGGTAATGCAGGACCCTCCTGAAAAAAACCTAGATACTCCGTGAGGAATTCCAGGTTAAATCAGGGGGCATCATTATTGTATTGTAGGCTGTGCAATTGCTGATCAACTAAAGAAAGTAATTGTATTGAAAATTTACCATTACTGTTATTATTTTTGCTGATTTCCAATTATAAATTCGGCTGACTAGTTGGAAGAAGCCAGCACAATCAAGTGGAAATCAATCAAATAACATTGACTCTTGAATGATCTTGCTGGGACATTATGGCTCCATCCCATGCTTTAGGTACATCCGCTCTTAAGTTTGTTTCCAGCTCAACTATCCAGGCCAGGCGTGTGATCCCAAAGAAGAAGACTATGCTCGCTGTTGAAATGTAATGATGGTTATTGATGGCATCGGTAACGCCTGTTGGCATCAGCATTGCATAGCCCAATATACAATCGAGGATGGATGCACTGCATAATTGGAATGGATTCCCATTTATCAGGTATGAGATGGTTTTTGCCCAAAGTCTGTCAAATTTTGTTTTAACGTTTGACCTCTAAGCAACATTGAAGAAAACGACAATACTGTATTTATAATTGTGAGTTCAAATCCTGGTTGGGTGTTCACTCAGCCCATCATTCCTCTGGGGTCGACAAAATACATACCAGTCCAACAGTGATCGTCCTTTGGAAAGACTCCCCTGCCGTCGGAATGTGGAATTCCCACCAATATCTCAGGCCTGTTCACATTTGAGCACAGCCTGAATACCAATTGTAGCAGGGCATCGCTTTGATTTTGAGTAGTCACAACTCTTTATTAACATCAGTGTTGGTATATTGTTTTTTTTGTTGGTACCTGCAGTATATGCAATACTATGTCATGTATGCAATGATTTACTCACATGACAACGAATCTTAGCAACATCCGGATGATGGAACGTTCGTCATTATTAGTGTAACCCTTGCACAGTCTTGGCCATCTCAATATCGGGATAGAACGCGCTGATTTTAGAAGCGATTACCTGTCTGTGCAAGGACCTGTAAAATGCCACATTGAGAAAACTCTCAATGTGGGTCATTATGTGATGCTCCCAAACCCATGCCAGCCCCTTCATCATTGTCAGTCGTTGTCTCTTCAGCTTTTGCCATTTGTATAAACACATATATTGATACTTTGATGTAAAGTTGATCGAATGCACATTCTAAGCATGTAATGTTCTAAGTTATTTTTAATATTGAAGACGATAAAGTGCCACAATTAACTAAATGTATACATTCTTAACATAATGTATAAATATACATTCAGTATAAAGCATATGCTTAACATTTTGACTTAAAACTTTCGTGACTGCATGATTTCATATTCTTTGATTCTTTTGGTAAAGTCACGTAGATAGAAAATAAATAAGAAACTCACGAGGTTTCGATCGCAAGACAAGCGGTCATCAGGCGACCGCCGGATGATGACCGCTTGTGTTTTTGTGTCTACGTGACTTTACCAAAAGAACCAAAGAATACATATGCTTAAAAGTTAAACTGTATGTTTTGTTTTGATTTAAAGCTTTCGTGACTGCAGGGATTCATATTCTTGGTTCTTTCGGTAAAGTCACGTAGAAGGGAAACAATACAGTAAAAAAATATGTAAAACAATAAAAGCGCGAATGGTTTACGCATTATTTATTTATTTTATTGTTTCCCTTCTACGTGACTTTACCGAAAGAACCAAGAATATGTATATTTTGTCTTAAATTGTCTGATTCTGATATATTATTGACAATTAGTGTATGGAAAAATTCTGCCGGGGACTAATGTTGCTGCCTATAATGCATTAATTTTGCACGAAATTTAATTACCAGATAAACAAAATATGCTAGTGGCATTTTTGTGCTAAATGTTTTTTTGTGGCCAAAATTAAAATGCCTAATTGAAATCGGACAAAAACCCAAACACATGACATCAAGTACAAAAATAATTAAGTCAGCTTTTAGCCTGGACTTTATTTTAACAAAAATGTAACTCACTGGTTCTTTTTGCATTAATGAAATTCATAGCAGTGAAAGCACTTATTAAGGACAGGCCCGGACAGGAGGCAGCAGATAAAAAATTATTGGCTCAAACATCGTTTAAACAAACAACTGCAGATTAAATACTAAAACTATTAAACTATGTTTTATTTGATCAGGTAAGGCCCACTGAGCTACGTAGCTCTTTTTGAGAAGCAAACTTGCCACAAAAGATAGCTCAACGAAGTGGCTTATCACGTGGACATTTATAGCAGCCAAATACTCGCACGAAGTTGATTCTAACGCGGAGGGAAAAACCGAGGACCCGAATGAAAATCCACGCGACCACGGGGAGAGAGACACGCAAACTTCAAATATACAGCAGACGTCAGGGTTGGGATCGAACCCACGACCTCCTCTATACCAAGTGAGGTAGTTAACAACTCTGGTAACGTCATCAGCAAGCCGTTGTGAAATCCCTGGAGTTTAACTTTTGGCGGCGCCTCATGAAGATTGTCAAGGAACGGAACGTGTCCGAGATGACGTGCAACACGGAGACGGAGCGATTAAATCGGCTCGTGTGGAGTTGAATTCTATCGCAGCATATCAGCAGATGGTGGCAGCTTGAGGAGGCCTTTATCCAGCAGTGGATTGACCATGGCCGACGATGATGACGACTCTGCAATCTGCTGTGACACTTTGCAACGCGAAAATTTACTACTCCTCTTTGTTGGTAACGTGACTCCCTGTGTGGCATCGAGCAAGGGAAACATCGCTTGACCTGCATCACCAATGAATTTCGCTCTACGTATAACCTCATGTAGCTACAATCCGGGGCAGGCTTAAACTTCAAAGGTCATTTGTGGAAGGAGCTTAACGATCTATAAGTGCTGTCATCCTTCTGTTGAGCATATTATATATTTAAGAGGTGAAGGTAATAGAACTTGGCAGAAAATGACAGGCTGATGCCAGCATTGTGTGTGCGCAGAAAATAGGTCCCTCTTTTATACATGCACACACATTTCAAACTGGCAATTGTCAAGTGTTTTAATTCAAAGAAGCACGTGCCCTTTCTCGTGTGCAAATTGACCCGATCCGCCTTCAGGAATGACGGCAGGAAGTATAAAGGAAGGCACTGATCAGAGCCACTGTAACCTCGAGAATTCCTCCACAATGCAGGCTAGTCAGATCACGACAATTGTCCCATTGAGTCTGCACACACTGCCTCTGTGGCTGCCAGATACATTCACTGTGTAGCCTTTCCGCAAAGCACATGTCACGCAAAGTTGCGTTAATTCCCTCCATTAAATATTTTCTCACTTAAATTTTCTTATCCCCCCCCCACTCCTAAATTTACATGACAAGACCCGAGATATACTTTTACATTAAATCTGTGAGCTTAAGGTTCCCGATCAGATATATATATTTAAATCACAGAGATGCTACTGGTACTATTAAGAAACAGATAAAGATTAATGTGATATTAAACGTAAATGAGATGTTGCTGTGGTGCAATGGTCAGCACACTGGACTTGCAATCCACCGCTCATTGGTTCCATTCCTTCTGCTGATGTGGCAGTGGAACACCACGGTGCAAGTTGCTTGAAAGCCACCGCGTCTGTCCACCCAGCAGCGTGAACCGTTTTGCCACGGTGGAGTCAGTCGACAGGTCGCGTGTGGTGGAGTAAAGTGGGAGGACTCCCACCTCTTAAAAAATGTAGGGTCTGTGTGGAAGAGTAAGCCAAGAGAGGGGCTCTCTAGATCTCCCTCTGGTAGAGGTCCTTCTGACGGCAGTGGCGTGAGCAATCATTTGCATGGCAGCCCCTTTACCTTCCGTTGCTAACGTACAACTACGACAGCTCTCAAAGTGATTGATAAAGAAGCGTGGGAAAAGAGGTAAAAACGATGAGAGAATAATGGGACTGGAGCAACAGGCACAAAAACAACTTAGTTACCCAGACAAAACTTTCCATTAATGAATTAATCGACAGCCTGGAGATGTAGCCATTTATAGAGCTCTCCAGTGCCACTGTCAAAAGTAAAATTGCATCCTCACTCGAATGACGAATAGGACAGTGCTCATCTCTGTTGATGGCACTAAGCCAGTGGTGGAAACTCCACGTTACCATGGTGAAAGGCAATCAAATCATATTGTAATAATAAATTGGCATAGCACCAATACATTACTTTAATCAAAAAACGTAAACATGCGATGATCCTTTTCCATTGTTACTCCCACGTTTGAATGCTTTGAAATTTACATTTTCCTATGTGTTGTTCGCCATTTGGCGTTCTCTGGGCTAGCGCTGGTGCTGAGACAAGTCCATAAAGGAGGCTGTCACTGGTGTAGGCCAATCAGATTAAAGGACAATGCACACGTTAATTATTATTAGAGCATGTTTGTTTGCATGCTTTCCCACAAGCATGTGTGGTTAATGCAGATTTGATGCCTTGCAATAGGTGTGTCTATTTGGTGTTTAAAAATATAACACCTCCTGTGTTATGCCGGAAAGGGTAAAGCCTGTTGTTTCTTCATCATCTTGACTGTGTTCTCTACATTATAGCACAATTGCATTGTGTCGCTGCAACCCAGTTATGTTGGGATAGTGGTTTTTCCATGATATCTGATAACTATGAGCACAGTTGATTGGGCAATGAGTGGGACAGTGTTCACGGGAAGACTAAATCGTGATACAAATTAGAGGCAGATTATTTTAAATGCTACCGGGTATATGCCAAGTTGTAACTGAATTTGCAGAAAAACCTCAGCTCGATCAATAGAGGTAATTGAATGATGGATAGTTCTTTATGCAGTTCACATTACATGTATTGATCGTGCCTGACAGGGAACAATCAACAATAACAAAATCCTAGAAAAGATTCTTCTTTCTTGATGTTAATTTAAATTTGCACTTTATACTTTTTTCTCTCTATATGTTATTCCCGAATGTCCTGTTGTCATGATGCCATAAGATGAAGAATCCATTCGAATCTCTTGCAGAGCAGTGCAGCCCTTCATGTTAGATAGCAGTCCACGGAAGTGGATATTACAGAGCTACCTCTGAGATTCCTTCAAGTGACCCCTGGGCCACACGCAGTAGGGGGCAGCACCCTGCCACGGAGAATAATGTTCGTATGTCTGTTGTATGTATGTTATATGTATATATGTATGTTGAATTTCCTTTGCACCATATGTAGCCAACCGTGCTAATTGGAGGTGCGTGGGAAGGACAACAAACTAAACACAAAAAACAGTTCTCAAGAAATTCGTTTTCAATCTAGATTTAAAAGTGCATAGCTCTAGTTGCTTCGTAATATCGGAAGGAGGAGCGTTCCAGACGGCCGCTGAAGCGCATCTGAAATAATTTGTTGCATGACAGTTAAACCGATATTAATTATTCTCTACAATTTTGCCAATTGTAAGTACGAAAAGAAAGTTAATGTGACTGTTTTTGTGCAGTCATTCGTGGCTGGGCTGAGACCACTAACCCAATTTAATCACCATCTCAGCCATCATGTCTCCAGGCCAACCAGTGATGAGTTCCATCAGTATAGTATAATATTAACAACCCCAGAGGGATAATGGGTTATGTTGACCCCCAGCTGGGATTTGAGTTCACAAGCTTGCAAATAATGAGTTGGGCACTGATAAAGTCTTGAATACTCACCAGGATACCTAGTGAATCCCTTGGCAATTATTACTACCACGTGTGAAGCTGTCTTGCCGTATGAAACGGTGAACCGTGAACTACTCTCCAAATAGGCACTTTCCCCACTATAATTCTAAAAAGGGGTCCTCTGAAATGAATGCAGAAACATGTTACTACAGAAAAATAAAATCATCGTACTCTTCAAAATAATCTTTGCCTTGGGATTCCTGGCTTGCTGCTGGCTGGGTTCCTCACCACCACAACAGAAACTCCGTCGTCATCGTTGTTGTTAGTGGCTGCTGCAGGCTATTTCCACCAAAACTAGCTGGGTAACTGGCCGAATGGGATTTAACAAACATTAAAAAGTAGAAACGGTGGAAGAAGTTCAGAAGTCGCAGAATAGACAGTCACACCGAAGAGGTGGGTGTAAGGCATGCAGAGGGCTGACATGGTTCATCACAAACATTGCCCTAACTTTTCAATTCGTGCTTAAGTTCAGTGCTCCGACTCTAGGATTGTGAGATGAGTGACAATGACAGCTGTCTCTTATTTTGTGTTGCCGAGCAACGGGTTCTCTCATAACAAGGAAAAAAGTGGTATTTATAAAACTGAGGAAAGCCTCTCCGAGTCTCAACACTATTTCAGGACGGTCCTGCACTTCGCTATATGACCTCTACTCCATCAGCGAGTTGGTGGCATGTGGGAGAAAACTGTTGTGCTTCCCCATACCTCCGATGAGCACAGTTGGGTTACATACAGTGCCAAGTAACATAAATACGTAGAAACAAAATCACAAAGTATGAGCGTATAGCACCTCAAGGCTCCAAATAGATCAACTACGCTTCCTGTACCATCATCTCTTGGCATCCTCGCAGTCCGGCGGATTTGGGAGTTTCACAATTTCGTTTGATTCACCAATCCGTGCCTCGAAAGCGGTGGATCACAGGTGGGTGCGGTGACAAGTGCCTAGGGCGGGATGGCACCAGTGTGCCGGGAGATGATGAGCACTCAACAACTTCTGTCCGCCGCAGCGCTCCGATCTGTTTCTGATTTGTGCCGCGTGCCGTTCGGCAACGATGTCCGACGTTTCACTCCGCGTGGCGAGAGCCGAGGAAGTTCCGCAGACGCCGAGCGAAACGCGGTAACGATCGCGACGTCGAACGACACGCGGGAACAGCCCAAAAAACAAACCGGTGGCCCGCACCGCAAGCGCCTCCGCTCCCCGGCCACCTCGCAGCCACGACCCCAACGCCGCTCCGCTTTCTCCCCCCGCGTGTGTCCGCGCAGTTGAGACGCCGCAGCGGGGCCAGCCCAAGCGGCGGCTGGGCGTGGCCTCCAAGGTGCGAGTGATGGGTGTGGCGGCGGCCGCGGCCGCCGCGACCACGACGGAGCAGGAGGAGCAGGAGATGGGGGCGCGGCGCAGGATGAAGTGGAAGACGCTGCTGGGCATCTTCGTACTGGTGCTGGGCTACCTGGTGCTGGGCGGCGCTGTGTTCCGGGCCCTGGAGCAGGGCAACGAGAGCGCCCAGCGGGACGCCATCACCGCGCACAAGGCGAGCTTCCTGGTGCGCCACCCGTGCGTGCCGCCCGACGAGCTGGAGAAGCTCATACAGGTGAACGAGACTCGGTGGGCTCTGCTCGGGGTCGCCGGCGTAAACGCGACGTCGGCCCGGAGTTGCGTTCGCGGTTCGTGTTGCGATTGGTGTGGTGATAAAGAACCTCTCGTTCAAATGTGCCAGCCGAGGAACAATGTCGAGTTGTGGCCCTGCTGGCTCGTTCCCAGGTATTTTGGTGCTTTGGGGCAAGGGTACCATCCTTGCACCCGCTCTAGTTAAATTATTAATTGGACAGCGCTCATCTTCTGTCCGTGACCTTAAGCTAGTGGTGGAATTTCTGGATCGGGGATGTTATTCGTAGAATGACCATAATTAGCATAGCACCAATGGAATAAAGTCAAAGAGATGTCCAGGTCATATGAACATTGAGGCAGTGCTCATTTCCCATTTACAGCCCTGAACCAGTGGTGGAAATTCCACAGTTCGATGGTGGTGGCGAGACACCTGCTGTTGGCTTCTTATTTTTATGAACCCTGAAGAGGATGATGCGCTGAGGCAACCTCTAACCCCCCCCCCCCCCCCCAAAAAGGATTTGAACTCTCGACCTTCTGACTGTGAGCCACTCGCTCGACTATCGAGCCCCTTCGGCGGTATGGTGCCAGACTATTTTCGTAGTGCTGAGCATCACTCAACGCAGCGGTGGTGGTGGTCCGATCCTCTCCTTCATCACCGCCGTGGGGCCTCTGGCGGCTGTTGGTTTTTCTGGCTCACGACCTGATGGGAAGAGCCGCGTGAAGGCGCGGCAAATGCGGTTCAATGTTGATGTTGCGATTGCTGACACGGTTTAAACTTTCAGCGGCGCGGACAGGACACATGAGGAATGTTACGGAAAATAAGTTCTCTATGCTTTCAAAACCATCCGATGTTATCGCGCGGGAATTAGAAAATTCCCGTAAGGTTCCATAGCATTCCTTTCGTGTTCCCTACATTTTTGGAGTAGGTCTAGAAGAGTCGAAGTTACGTGGTTTTATCTCTTGTCTGTGCGTAGTATAAATTAACATGCACACATTACATGGTATAAAATAATTCTGCCTCGGTGTAACGGTTGCCCGTTCGACTCGATCTCCTGGTGCGGAAATTGAAACAAAGGGGGCAAGTTTCTTGAATCCCCCCCAGCCCGCCTCTGTCCACCGAGCAGTGCAAATGGCACACCGCCACGACCAGCCGATCGGCAAGTGGCGCGCAGTGGGGTAAAGTGTCGGTACCGCCACTTCTTCCGAGACGTCTGTGGCCAGTGTGGAAGCGTCGACCAAAATACCCACAAGAGGGACTCTCTTGGGCTCCCTAGAGATCTGCCAGGAGTGGCCTGAGCATGAATGTGCACGGCCGCACCGCCAATGAACGCGGTTGGCTACGGACGGTGCGATAGAAGTTCAGCATACACACGTGCATCTCGTCATAGCGTGGTCGGAAGTCAAAGTGCCTCGCTGCTCAATTGAGCGTGCGGTGGGCGCTTCTCCCTTTGTAGCCCTGAGCCAGCGGCGAAATTTCACATTGCACGTTGGGGGCAATTATCTCCTGAGGGAAAACACTCGCGGTCGATGATAACCTCCAAATATCCCATTTCCGAGTACTACACCTGAGGTGATGTGCGACGTATATCCGCTGACATTAACCTAACCCAATGGCTCGGCTTAGTTTAAATTGTTAAGAAACATAAAAGGTTTCACCATTTTGTAGGACATAAATAGAACGTTATGTTCTTTTTTAGCAATTCTCACACACATGTAATAAAGACCTGCACAGAACTATCTGGTAAACGTGGGAGGCATTTACCCCCTGGCTCGGCAGATCGTGAGTAAGTGTTCCTTCTAACGACCTAACACTTTATCCATTAGGCTTCTTTAGCACAATGAGGTTGGAGCTTGCGCATAAATCACTTGCAGGTGGTCATGAAGCTGAAATAACATCTGATGTTACCACGGTGAACTGCAAAGGTCAGGAGGTTGCATTATTTGAAACTTAACTGCTTCCAATTCTTTCCAAAGAGGTAACGGTTAAATCAACATAAGTTTCTTCTTTTGAAAAAAAAATCACGGCAACATGCCCCGCAAGGCGAACCTTCCGCTGAAATAACGACATTTAATGACATTGTGCCGTGCGTGACCCCCTCGTGAATCGCCGAGTTGGCACGCACGGCGAGAACCACGGCCGGGTGACAGACGTGGAGCCGAGAGGAACTCACTGCGGTGAATCCCAGCGTTCGCCACCTCACTGCCTGGCCTACACCGTGCCATTTACAGCCCTTTGGCAACCTTTACTCGGCATGAAACAGTCTGGTTGAGTGACGATCAAGCACCCACTGGCTGTGCTGTCTCATCATCCGGACTGTGTTCAACAGGTCTAAACACTCCTCTTTTCTTCTCCTTACCTCGCACTATTCGACTTTGGAATTCCCTCCCATCACAAGTTTGTTTTTCCCGAACAATTATAACAACCTTGCTCAATTTTAAACACGTGTTAACTCTTATCTATTACACCTTGAATGGTGGTGTTTGTTGCTGGCTGTTGAACCATTTTGGCCATTGCCTGTGTTCTGCAACTGTGAACAAGACAATCTACTGCCGTGGCCCTCTCCAAGGTGGGCGTAGCCACACTCAACCAAACGAGCGTTTCATTTGGCACAATCTCCAGTGCGAGGATTAGCCGTCGTGCATCTCGGCTGCCAGGGCAACGTCGTCTGTGTAGTCGAGGTGAGCGAACGCCTCGGGTTCTCCTCCCAGCACTCCTTGTGAACTGTGCGCTGCACGCTGCAGCACATCGGGGCAAGGGACAGCCATCCGCGTGGAATTGCCGTTGAAATGGTTTACATAGGCACAGGCCGTGTGCTTCATTGGTGATTTCGGTCGGTAATGGAATCCCGATACCAGCTGGCCGTGAGCAGTATCATCGTCATCACGAGGTATACTTGGCTGGGAAGCGGCATTGGCAGAGTTCCACATGTGAAGTGCGGTCCAAATATCCTGTAGACTTTGAGGGAGGTTTGCTTCGTACCGTTTTGGTAAGGTGTTGTAAATGACTCTCTTTTTTGTGCATGTAAACATTGTCCAAACGACATTTATACTGTTTAAGCTAGATATGGGCTCATTCACAATTTCGCAATGAAAGATGCTGTCGTCTTACTCGCATGGGGTTTAACATTGCACTTAGCTCAACTGAATGTACTGTTGATGACAACTAAAACGCATGCCATAGCACGAGGCCGTGCTGTGAATCTACCTGCACGGAGAATAATGTAATCTGTGCTTTAGTGCACATAACAGCACAACACATTGGTGTGTCATGGATGATGCAATGGATCCGGATATAATTAATTTGCACCAGCAACCGTTTACTGAAATGTATAAAATAGCCGCAACACACGAAGCCCTGTGAATCTGTTTTGAAGCATTCCCGAGAGACAAATGTATGCAAAGTTTAACATTCTATGGAGACTTTAATTTTACTTGTCGCAGTTGTGTGAATGGGAATTTTATATTGCCTCGAAAGAACTGCAACGAATCCCCGTGGCGTTCTGGTTGTCCACTCTCTGTAACAAAATATCACCCTTGGGAAATGTATTTGGTGTCATTTTGGGGGAGGGGGATATTTTTTGAAGTTGTTTGATATTTACAATGCCAGCTAACTTATATAATTGGAAAGGACATTTTGTTATTTCATGCACACATGTTATAAGTTGAACATATAAAAAAATGCGAGTGAGAAAAAGTAAAGACATGCAACATATTTGGATATGAAATCACATCCAAGTATGTTTAAGCGAGTGTACGAGCTGCTTCGCTCACAATGGATTGCTCTGTTTTCAGCATCCACCCTGGCTCTTGCTGCCCGGGTTGATTCGTCCGGATAATTGAGGCTGGGAGTGGTGGTGGGGGGAGAAGATGGTGCTTGTCGGTGCTCTGTCTGTGCGCCTCAGTTCAGATTATTCGCATAGACACTTGCTTTCATATGAGCAGTTCCTGAACAGACTGACAAAAAATGAAATTCTACGATTCTTACAGGTGAACCGTGTGCAATTTAAAGCAATTGGGGAAAAAAATAGTGGACATTTTATTGGAGCCTGCCCACGTCTTACAATTATAGCGTCTGTACATTGTCCTTGATCTCTGCCTGCATGTAGAAGAACAATAATACGATCTATAATAATAATACCTTTTTTGCCGAACTGGAAAATGATCCCCAATTCTTGAGAATATTTTTCAGGAGAGTCTTGGGATATATTTGACCAATGTTCCGTGCCAGAGAAAATCTCAATGCAATGGGGGTTACCCAAACATATGAGAACACTCAAACTCGACTCGTAAACATTACACAATGCAGTACAATGCAATTTCCATTTATACAAAATCTAAATGCAATCCCGTCTGAAGAAGGCATACAAAGTAGCAGAACCTGTATCAGGGGGACCGCCAGCAAAGGGAGGTGTATCTTGAAATATATATTTACACATATTTAGAGATGTATCCGTGGTATAATAGTTAGCACATTGGTTTGCAATCCAGAGGTCACCAGTTCAACTCGATCTCGTGGTGCGGCAGTTGAAGCATTGGTGGCAAATTTCTTAAGTCCCCTCCCACCTCTATCCACGCAGCAGTGCAAATGGGTTACACCACGGTTATTCAAAAGGCAATTTGCATGTGGTGGGGCAAAGCGTGGATATTGTCATCTCTTCCAAGGTTTCTGGCTAACGTTGAAGAGCAGGCAAATATTGTGTCTAGAGGAGCTCTCTAGAGCCATGTCTGCAGTAGTGGTGAGAGCAATACATTGCAGGCCTGCACCTTTGTCTTTTACCATTTTTAAAATTCCGTTTACTTCTAAGTGCCGACTGCATGGAGGTAGCTTGCACACATCTTTGCATGATCCACCAACCCTCCTGCTGAAGTTCTCAGGGATGCATGTGCTCCTATTCGTTGCGGTTATGATTTGGCGACCACACTTGTTTGTCATGAAGTAGCTGTGATGAATTGGAGTCTTGGCGTGACAATAATAGAAAACATGGCATTACCTCGATGTAAAACAATCACGAAACGGCAAAGGTAATGTAAAAACAATGCCAAGCCTTTACCTCTGTCAGCATGTTCTCATAAAATTGTAAAAATCTGTTTGCCCGATTGCTTCATCAGCAGTAAAATCTGGCGAAGCTGCAGACGCTGGGGACCCGGTGTCCCTGTCGCTCACCTCTCTGCCGTCGAGTTCCTGATGCAAGAGCAAAAGCAGCCGACCAAATAACTTATCTCGCCTTTTAAACTTCCACAAAGGGAAATAAATTCTATTAACATTTAATCACGTGCACTGTATACATTACATAACGCTGATGTTGTGGTGTTCATAAAACCTTGGCCGATGATCGGAGCAAAGGAATCGATTTTTAGCGAAACCTTTAAACATTTGTACGCCTGCGTTCTGACGATTTTCGTTTCAAGTGTGCAAAGGCGCTGACACAATGACGACGGCCAAAAAACCCCCACAGCCAGACAGCCTCCCCTTTGCAGTGACTCACACATCCACTCCGCAGTTGCGTCATAACGTCTCGCACGCACACAGACTCCTGGCACGGGCAGCCAATGCAGCCAACATTACGAATTTTAGCTCCCTTATCCATCTCTAACCCATAGTCGCGCGTTGATTTAAGGTGCTTTAGACGAGCTCAGATTTACCAAATGGCTTTGTAACATGCTTTCGTTTTTAGGATGCAATATTTGTTCCGCGCTCCTCTTTATCATGGTAATAATCAGGGATGTAATCTCCCACTTGATATATTAGCGGAATGCTGCTGGGTCTGCTTGGAGTAGGGATTATCGGCATAAGCGCGCTATTGCCACGAGTGTACGAGGTATACATATATGTAATATTTCCATGTTCATGTACTCGATGTTGCTGTAATCCTAGTGAGGACACACTGAGTATCGTGTGAACAAATAAGGTGAGATGGATACAGTGTGCCATGATAATTCCTGGTCTGATCAGGCTGAAATTCAATCACTGGTAATCATAATAATAATGATGAGAAACATTTTTTTGCGATACTTTCCCTTAAAAGGCATAACTCGTTTTAAGTGAATCACAGCTTCCACTGATTGTCTGCTTCTAGGTTGCCACCATAGCACGGGGATTTTGTTTTCTCATCCAGTGCTGTAGAGAGCTGGAGGGGGATATTACAATAATTTTGAGAGCAAAAACAAGGGGCTGGATTAGGCAGTGATTTATTTGTGTAATTCATCACCATCATCATCCATCCCTTGTTTATCCACTGCTGGATGAAGGCTTCCCCACGCCGTCGCCATCCTTCACATTAATTCGATGTCACGAGTCATCTCCCTCCTGCACTGATCTCGTCGGCGGAGTCAGTACAATTGTTTAAAACCATTAAATAAAGAGGCGTATATCGTTTGCTCCAACATAGATCAGAAAGCCTCGCACGTAGATTTAATACTCGCACGTAGATTTAATACTCGCACGTAGATTTAATACTCACACGTATATTTAATACGGCTAATAATAGACATCAATTGATTTGGATTTGGCTGAGGCGATATAATGATCTGGCCAGGTTTATGTCGTAAGCCCTCCACCCCCGACATAGCCAAAGAGATTAAAATGCTTGTTTAACACGCAGTAGGCTATCGCGACCAATATCATCCATGATACAGGGGGTTTTTTTGGGTTATATCGCGGAAATATAAATGTGTTGTTAACCCAAATCTGGCTGTCCCCCTGATGATGCTAATCGTATTTACTCAGATTGTAAATGTTGTGGATTTTCTCTCCAGCATACCGGTGCGCTGTACTAGTAACGAATTGGCCACGTTCTGTTTTCGTGACAAACCTTGCTAATTGGCTGTGTCGGGTGGTGGCGGGTTTAATGACACATTTATATTTATGCGATCTAACCCAAAAAAAAACCTGTATTATGGAAGATATAAATGTTACTTGGTCAAGTGTTTTTATGCACCAATCATTATTGCTTCAGCTCACCAGTAAGTTGATATCGGAGACGTGGAAAGGTAAATGTATTGTTGCATCGCAGGGTCATGAGAGATGGCAGTGGCTGAGAGAGGCAATCGTCCACCAGTGATAGATGATGGCTGATCACGAAGATAATATTCGCCATATTGAATTAGTGGAATTCCACCAAATAATTTATCGTCGTGTGTTTGGGCTGCGCCGCGCGTTGTCCGGCACGATGTCTGACGTTTCGCTCCGTGCCCTGGGAGCTTCTCTCTGTTCAGTTCCCGCAGAAGCTTGGCAGGCGTGAAGCAAAACGTCGATACGACAAAACGGCAAGACCCAAAAATAAATTGGAGAAATAACAAATTTATTCATTTAGCTGGCCCGTGCTGGTTCAAGCTGAAGTCCATTGTTGTTGTTGGCGAGATGTTAACTTCCTGTCATTTATTTTATATTTGTATCCCCATGGTCGGATGTCACGAGAGATCACGTGTAGTCATAATTGATTCCGTCTCTCGTTGGCAGAATGTGGCGGCTGCCCTCAGTGCCGGTGTGAACCCCTCGGGTAACGCCACGAGCCAGAACAGCCACTGGGACCTGGGGAGTGCCTTCTTCTTCGCCGGCACAGTCATCACCACCATTGGTACGAACACGCGCACGCCTATTGAACACGCGGATGCCTATTGAACACGCGCACGCCTATTGAACACGCGCACGCCTAATGAACACGCGCACGCCTATTGAACACGCGCACGCCTAATGAACACGCGCACGCATGTACGCACGCACCACACGCTCGCACCGACGGCCCAGCTGCTTTGCGTGCCGTGGGCATGAGGACGCCCCAAACACTGCAGTAGACATGGCCACGAAGTGATTAATATGCCTAAGAGACACACATGGACATTAACATATATATTTTTTCCCTTCAGCAAGGTGACATAATTGCAGATAATGCCGAAACCTGTAAATACACAGCTGCACGCAAACAACAGGCTCAGTACTCTTTGGTTCTCACATCTGATGATGATTGCTTGTGTTGCAACGGAAACGTCGTGATTTAATGTATTTTATATTTTTCATATTTTATATTTTATACCTACGTGACTTTACCGAAAGAACCAAAGAGTATGGATCCCTGCAGTCACGAAAACTTCAAATCTAGCAGGCTCAGTACCGAGTCGATAACCAGTAGTTGCACAGAGTTCATTTCATTTTCGTGCAGCCGAACTGCTCTCATCCGCGATGACGTGGATGAAGGGAGGCTGCACTTCACAGATCCTATCCGTAATGTTACCAATATTTAAACGTGAGCCATTCCCTTAAAGGTCACCCAGAACTTAACACACGCACACACGCACACACGCGCGCGCTCTAATTATGACCGTGAGCGTGGACCGAAACGAAAGCACTCGCGCACACACGTATGGACAGACGCCCACACGCACGCAGAGATAAAGATCCCCGTACAGACATGCAGACTGTTGGGGCAAGTGCCGGTGAGCGAGCACCTATGAAGGCCGGAACGGCGCATGAGGGTTGGTGTTGCCAGCACCCCGCCTGTTCACTTTGTCTCCCCAGTGCTGAAGTTTTGCAAACTGGGCAGGGGAGATTCATGACAGGTTCTGTTACCACTTTCCATGGTTTGGAAATAATAGCCTTGTAGTTAGGCTCGTAGGCAGTGCGGTAACTGCTTAGCTACTTTTCCCCACACATGAACTTGCGACAAAGATCCCCCGTATAGCCTTAACAGACTGTTGGGGCAAGTGCTGTTAGTGAGCACCTATGAAGGCCGGCACAGCACACGAGGGGGTGGGTGGTTAGCACCACGCCCGGCCCCTTTGTCTCCCCAGTGGCGAAGTTTACACACCGCACCAGGTACTTATTTGAGGCTGAGATGGTATCACTGATATCCAATATCTATTCAAATATATCTTATTCCATCTAATTTGCATTTAAGAATCGTGACAGACGAATTCTGTTATCATCAGAACTAATGGTGCGAATCATCACACGTGCATTGCATATACCGACAGGCACCCACACACCAGACCACCTTGCACACACAACACAGATACGCACCGTCTCGTCGACCATCGTCAACTCACGAAGGCCTTGTCAAGCCTTCACTGTCCACCTAGCGGACGTCCTCCTCTGGGATTGCGTTCCATTATACAGCACAACAAGAATACGTCAACGTGATTTTCTGCTCAAATGAGTGTTGGGGCGGTCCTCTGTGCCGGTGGTTATAGCGGGGGTGAGTCTACTCGCATGACACCCACTGCTTGGCTTCCCATCAAATTTTTATTGACATCGGAGGGATGGTGGTCCGAGACAACCCCAAGAGGGATTTGAACGCCTAACCTTCCGGCAGTGAGCTGCTTGCTCTACCACCCAGCCACGGCCAGATTGTATAACGCGGGCCACTAATGGTCTCTTGTTTTCCGTGCAGCTTGGCCAGACGGAGCGCAGCGTGGCGCGCTGGTGCATAAACGCACTCTGCACATAAAACGGCATTAGCGTGTTTACGTACATACCGGTCTTGCGTACACACACGTGCCTGGTGCCATTACTGAGGCTCCTGTCAGAGCGCTTTTGTGGACCGCATAGGAGACCACGGAGCCCTGAGTATAAAACCACAAAACAAAGCGCAGTGTCGCCTAAAAACCTTTCTGCGGCCACCTACATACACACTGATCTACCACTTATTGGTACTCTATACACAAAGACAAGGACATGAACATTAGCAATAAGCCACTCGGTATACACGCAACGCACGATAGACTCACTGCAATTAAATGTGCCGGTTTCTCTGTTTGTTGTCTGTGCTCTTAAAACGAGATGCACTTGCCAGCACAAAAGCATCGTCTCCGATTGTCGCATTTGCTCACGAGGAGAGGGCACCACGTGAATGCTGGCGTGCGTTCGCGCGAAGGTGGTGCCCGTACTCGCACCCCCTGCGCAAGCCAGAACCATACTAATGGAGGTGTCGTCAGCACACAACCTACTTACGATGGCTCGCCTTTTGACTAACCTTCGAAAAAAGCCAGTCACTGCATTGTGCGTTTTATGATGTGCTTCTGTGGCCGTCTGGAATGTTCTTCGTATATTAGGAAGCCCCCGGAGCTCTGCACTGTTAAATCATCTCGATAGAAAACTCATTTTTTCGTGTGGTTAGTTTGTTGTCCTTCCCCCGCACCTTTGATTAGCATGGTTGGCTAGATACAGTGCGAAAGAAGTTCGACATACATGCATTATGATTAGGGGCTGCTTCGTGCGTTACACATGTAAGCAACATAGAGAAAACGTCTCCAAAGATTCTGGCTTATAGACGATTATTGATACTTTGTCTTTCACTGCTACTCCTGGTATGACATTAATGTTATTACTTTGTTTATTTACCCAGGAAAGCCTCACTGAGTCTCATGACTCTTTTCAGGAGGGACCCGTCACGTCTCCCCAGTAGCAGGGGGGGGGGGCGGGGGGCAGCGAGGATCTTCGAGGGGGGTGGCAGGGGGCGGGGGGTGGCAGGGGAGGGGGCGACGATTGCTGTGCACATTCCAATCGAGTTACCTCGCAGGTAATTTGTACATTTTGGTGGCAGATTTAGACCGTGACGTGGGCCCACAACGGTCTCCTCTCGAGAAAGACGTCACAGGATCTTCAACGTCCACCGTGAAGCAGATAGCACGTCATTTTACGGTTCATCCATGCCGCATTGTTAATCTGGGCAGCCACTGGATTTGAACGCTGAACCTCTGCAGAAAGCGGTGAACGTGCGCCCTCCGAGCCGTGCCAGCGCGGTGGCTCTGTGTGCGTGGGTAGCCCGCAGAGTGCCGCAGGGCATAGGCCGAGCATGGGAGAGTCCAACCGTGGTGTACAACAGCCTGGGCACTTCAGTTCCAGTTTAAATTATCTTGCACGAAATTGAACAACATTTGTCTGTTTCTAGAACCCAATTTGCAATCCACAGAGAGAAATCACCAGTGTCTAATATAATCTCTACTGTTGGTGGGTAATCTATGGCCCTTTCTAGATGACCAGTGTCTAATATAATCTCTACTGCTGGTGGGTAATCTATGGCCCTTTCTAGATAACCAGTGTCTAATATAATCTCTACTGCTGGTGGGTAATATATGGCCCTTTCTAGATGACCAGTGTCTAATATAATCTCTACTGCTGGTGGGTAATCTATGGCCCTTTCTAGATGACCAGTGTCTAATATAATCTCTACTGCTGGTGGGTAATCTATGGCCCTTTCTAGATGACCAGTGTCTAATATAATCTCTACTGCTGGTGGGTAATATATGGCCCTTTCTAGATGACCAGTGTCTAATATAATCTCTACTGCTGGTGGGTAATCTATGGCCCTTTCTAGATGACCAGTGTCTAATATAATCTCTACTGCTGGTGGGTAATCTATGGCCCTTTCTAGATGACCAGTGTCTAATATAATCTCTACTGCTGGTGGGTAATCTATGGCCCTTTCTAGATGACCAGTGTCTAATATAATCTCTACTGCTGGTGGGTAATCTATGGCCCTTTCTAGATGACCAGTGTCTAATATAATCTCTACTGCTGGTGGGTAATCTATGGCCCTTTCTAGATGACCAGTGTCTAATATAATCTCTACTGCTGGTGGGTAATCTATGGCCCTTTCTAGATGACCAGTGTCTAATATAATCTCTACTGCTGGTGGGTAATCTATGGCCCTTTCTAGATGACCAGTGTCTAATATAATCTCTACTGCTGGTGGGTAATCTATGGCCCTTTCTAGATGACCAGTGTCTAATATAATCTCTACTGCTGGTGGGTAATATATGGCCCTTTCTAGATGACCAGTGTCTAATATAATCTCTACTGCTGGTGGGTAATCTATGGCCCTTTCTAGATGACCAGTGTCTAATATAATCTCTACTGCTGGTGGGTAATCTATGGCCCTTTCTAGATGACCAGTGTCTAATATAATCTCTACTGCTGGTGGGTAATCTATGGCCCTTTCTAGATGACCAGTGTCTAATATAATCTCGACTGCTGCTGGGTAATCTATGGCCCTTTCTAGATGACCAGTGTCTAATATAATCTCTACTGCTGGTGGGTAATATATGGCCCTTTCTAGATGACCAGTGTCTAATATAATCTCTACTGCTGGTGGGTAATCTATGGCCCTTTCTAGATGACCAGTGTCTAATATAATCTCTACTGCTGGTGGGTAATCTATGGCCCTTTCTAGATGACCAGTGTCTAATATAATCTCTACTGCTGGTGGGTAATCTATGGCCCTTTCTAGATGACCAGTGTCTAATATAATCTCTACCGCTGGTGGGTAATCTATGGCCCTTTCTAGATGACCAGTGTCTAATATAATCTCTACTGCTGGTGGGTAATCTATGGCCCTTTCTAGATGACCAGTGTCTAATATAATCTCTACTGCTGGTGGGTAATATATGGCCCTTTCTAGATGACCAGTGTCTAATATAATCTCTACTGCTGGTGGGTAATATATGGCCCTTTCTAGATGACCAGTGTCTAATATAATCTCTACTGCTGGTGGGTAATCTATGGCCCTTTCTAGATGACCAGTGTCTAATGTAATCTCTACTGCTGGTGGGTAATATATGGCCCTTTCTAGATGACCAGTGT